ACTCTATCCTGGCTGAAACCAGGACACCCATTAAACATGATTCAGGTCATTATGGCACAGAAAGCCCCTGCTAAGGAGTAAGCTTACTTCTTTTACAGTGCAGTGAAAATATTCTGCCTCTATGTCAGGATATTTTTCAGAGGAAAATTGCACTTGCAGATTCTTTTTATTTCCAAGAGTAGTGAGAAAAAAAAGAAAATATTTAAAGCTACTTGGGTTTTTGTTTTGTGGGTTTTTTGGTTTTTTTGTTTTATTTTTAAGCCTCCTTTGTATAAAGAACAAATGATTTAAAGCCATTCCATGCAAGAAATTTACAGGGATCTCCTGATTTGCAGATTTCTGTTGATTTTTCAAATATATCTCTCATATATGTAATGCACTGTGATATTTTTAGATTCTCTTACCCCAAAGGGAAAAAGTTGATACGGTTTCACCAACCCTTTATTTTTACAAGGAAAGCCAACAGTGTTGAACTGTGCTGTTATACAAGCAAGAAAGAGTCTCTTTCTCTGTACCAGAAAAGTTATTAAAAATCCCACCTGGTTTTGCTATTAATAATGTTATTACAATATTTCAGTAGTGCTGGGTGGTCATAATTAGCCTCATGTATGTTTGTTTTTATAACTTGTACACACACATAAATACAGAGATTCTATACCCCGTGCTATATCTAAATGATCATATTTGATAAGACATATTTTAAACCCATTGATAATAGATGAGTCTGTCTGTGGAGAAAGTTGTATGCTCATGAGCTTTGAATGCTTTAACAGTCTTTTTGTCTAAGAATTCCCTCTAGCAGCAAAAATTAGGCTGATCAAAGCAGCAACTGGTGTGCATAGGCCACTGAAGAAAACACTAGATGAATGACTTTAGATTTTGATTCATGTACATCATTCTTAAGTAGAGAATGTGTCAGTCTTCCTTCATTGCTTCCCAGTGATACACAGAAAGCTTCTTTGTGTTTTACCAGAAGAATACAGTGAGCTATTGAAGACTTGTAACTTAGGGTTGCAAACCTGTTGCTAGTAAAACAAACATTAATTGATTTCTAAAGCAAACTATTTTTGTATCATAAAGGAAAAATAACATTTTTTGTGTGTGTGTATGTAAGTATATTAAAATAATGTTATCTTTTACTTGGTAAGGATAAAAATTTGACTTCTTGTTCACACTGTCTTGTCTTTTATTGCCTGTTACAGAACAATGACACTGAAGATGAGGAGAGATTATGGAGAGATCTTATTATGGAGAGAGTGACAAAATCTGCTGATGCTTGTCTTACTGCTATCAATATTATGACATCACCAAATATGCCTAAAGCTGTATATATTGAGGACGTAATAGAAAGAGTTATTCAGCACACAAAATTTCATTTGCAGAACACTCTCTATCCTCAGTATGATCCTGTGTATAGAGTGGATCCTCATGGTGGTTAGTATGCTAAATGTTTTGCATTTAGCATTTTGTTGTCATTATACATACCTTCAGATGTGGGTGTCCAACTTCAAGAACATTTTTAAAAATCTTGGATCCAGAATTCAGAGCAATTATGAAAGTATGAAGTTTTTGCTTTCCAGATGATTCTGCTAAATATTTTTTCTTCTGTAAGCAATTGCATTTACAAAGCTGTAGTCATGGAGTTGTTCTGGGGACATTTTTTGAGGAAGATAATCATCTTTCTGATATTTGATGTAAGTGAAATACTGAAAAAAATAATAAATATATTTTTTATTTTTTAGGTGGTGTTTTAAGTTCAAAAGCAAAACGTGCCAAGTGTTCCACCCACAAGCAAAGAGTTATAGTGATGTTGTATAACAAAGTTTGTGACATTGTCAGCAGTTTGTCAGAGCTGCTAGAGATACAGCTTCTTACTGATACAACTATTCTTCAGGTAAGTTTTATCAGAATTTCTGTCTGAGAATGTTTGTTTTTCTTTTCCCAGAGCGACTGTAAAGTGTGATTGTCTCAATGACATGAAGTATGAAATCAGTACAAACTTTTGAATTATTAACATCAGTGACTAGTTTGTTGTGTAGTATGTAATCTGCAGAAGAGCATTTAATGTTCAAATCTTTAATGGCTTTTATTGTAGACTTAAGAACAGTTTAACCTGATTGTATTAAAATATCCTTTAATAACTTTATTTGCAAATGATATTAAGTAATACATGTTGTTGAATACCTTACCTGCTGAATGAATAACCTACTTGTGAAACTGCATAAATATCAGTTTGTTAGTCAAATATACTTACAATAACTTCTTTACATTGATAGGTATCATCTATGGGAATAACACCTTTCTTTGTAGAAAATGTCAGTGAACTACAGTTATGTGCCATCAAATTAGTGACTGCAGTAAGTAATTTTTTAATTTGCAGTTTCATGTTCCTGTACTTCTGATAGTTATTAGGGCATTTACATAGGGTGTATTTTTGCTGATAGAGAACTGGAGTTTAGAACTAATTTTATTCTTGCATGTTTTTACAGTTTGGTATCATAATCTAGGAACAGTATTAAATCTGCCTGATTTACAAGTATTTGCAGAGTACTCTATAGGAAAAAATAGCGTACTTAAGGCAAGGAATTTACTTAATTTTGGTTATGTTATTTAAACTGTAAACACAAACCCCTTCCTCTTACCTGTCCTTTCTTGTCTTAAGAAAACTTAACAATGTGGTTTTCCTTATTTCCTTTGTTAAGATTTGAATTTTTGTAATAGAATAAGCTATAGAACTAGTAGGATACTTCCATATAATAGAATAAGTCCTTTTCCTTAGAAGAGGTGGCTATGTGAAAATGGGACAGATAAAATATTATTTCAGGAAAACTGCAGTGCAACACACATGTGCGTGTTCAAGTGGAAGTTTTCCATCTTTGTAAGGATGATGTACTTCAGTATGTATAAAAGTAATTCTGCCAACAAAAGGAGAGGGAAACTCTACAATCCTGACCCTGTAAATTGAAAGAATATTTCATGTCAGGCAAACAAACATTAAAGCTTAGGATATGAAGTAAAACTGGTTTTTCAAATGTGCTCTAAAACCATACGTGTGTTCATGTTAATTTATGTTACTGTAGTGTTTTGCTCTATACTGGAGTCTGAAAGCTTAGCATTACACTGTTTGACTTTCTTATACAGTGTATTGTGCCTTTGGCAGAAATTTTTAAAACATACAGTATTTTTAAGAGCTATTACATATTTATGCTATTTGAAGATTTTTAAAAAATCTATATTTGAAAAAGTTTATATATATTTTATAAAGAAATGCTTGCTTTGAAAAAACAAAGCAATGCATTAAAAACAAGGTATGCATTAAATATAATTTATTTAAATGTCATGAAAAGTGTATGTTTCTATCTATAATTTTTATCAATCTATTTAAGAAGCTATTTTTTATATAACAATAAATAATTTTTTAACAATCCTGTAACTGTTAAATAGGTGTTCTCCAGGTATGAAAAACATAGACAGTTAATACTAGAAGAAATTTTCACTTCCCTTGCAAGACTACCAACTAGCAAGAGGAGTTTGAGAAACTTCAGGTAATTTCTGACATAGATTGATAATTTGTAGACAGTAGCATTTACAGTTTTGTAGATGTAGGATTTTAGGCTTCAGTATTAAATTGTTCTTTAAAAATCTGTGACTCTACAAGCTGCGCTTTGTTAGAGGTTGATATTTCAAAACCTCTACAGTGAGAGCAGAATTGCCTGACAAATGTATTTTGTAATAATCAGTTTCTTATGCCATCATATTTATGCCTGCTTACAAGACTAATTGAAATATCTTATTATTTGTCTCACTAAGGATGTAAATGAGTGTAATGTTAGTGTGCATTCAAAGGTTTCTTGTTGGAAAATTCTTTGGTTCTGTTTATATGGATTTTATATAATTTCTTCATTGATAAATCTTAATAG